CGGGAGGCGCGTGTCCCAATCGGGCGCAGAGGTCACGGCGCCAATGACAGCGGCGCTGCGGAATGAATGGGAACGAGGAGCACGTGCGCCGAGGCCAGGGGCCCGGGGTCGCTCTGGAGTGGGACACCGGGGTAGCGGGCTTCCCTGGTGGGACCGAGCTGTGTGTTCGCTTGAGGTAGGGGTGTCCCGGGACCCGGGAGCTGTGACAACCGGTTGGTTGGGGAGTGGGGGTCAAGTGGTGAGGAGCCTGCCCCCCCACCCCGGGAGACTCAGGAGCCATCAGATTGTCTGTGGTGTGGACGAAGAGGAAATTCCTGGAGGACAGTGGCCTCAATCCCTTTGCGCCTTAGAACCGGCTCCAGGAGGACAGACCTTTTTAAAGCAAAAGGGATTCCTATCTCATTCTCCAAGATAGAGAATCAAATTGACCTTGGAGTAGTTGCATGGAAAGGGTCTTAGGGAGCAGGCAGGTTTGATGCTGTCTGGGCCTGAACTTAAGTGGTTCCATAGGTAAGGGCTTCGCTGGAAGCGCACATCTGCATGGAGCTAGAAGGACTTTAGAAGGAGAGAGAACTTTGAGTCTTTGAAATCTCATGGCAGCTTCTTGAAGTAAAGCCAGAGTCTCAGCAATAAGATGATTCCTTGAGGCTGTCTCCTGCTGCGTTGGGTCCAATTTCTTTCTTTCTTTTTTTTTTTTTTTTTTAATATTCTGGTCAATTTAGGAGTTATAAACCTGTTCTTATGGCTCTGTCAATCACTTTGTAGTGACTCATTCTCAGGGTGCCACCACTTAGGCCCATACTGTAAGCATATCTAGGCACTGACTTTTTAAAGACTTATCCAGTCACCCAGTAATTGTACAAGTGTTCACCTTGCATTTGCAAAGTCCCCACCACTTTTTTTTTTTTAAGGAGAGAGAGAGAAGGGAGAAAGAGAGAGTTTTTTAATATTTACTTTTCAGTGAACACACATCCATATATTTTTTTTATTTTTATGTGGTGCTGAGGATTGAACCCAGCACCCCATGCATGCCAGGCCAATGCATTACCACTTGAGCCACGTCCCCAGTCCCCCCACCACTTTTTATTTGAATTTAGGATTCAGTTTGTATTCAGATTTGGTACATTTCATTTATCCATGTACTCATCAAACACCATTTATTTACTAGCATGAAATATGTAGCATTCACAAATGTCTACTTTGTACCAAAGTGGATGCATATCACACATTATCTAAAAAAAATGTTTGGAAAAGGAAGGCAACTGGGCTTGAAGACAACCTAGACAGGTAAAAAAGGAATACTATATATGGGGTGTAGAAAATGGGAGAAGACTCTTAGGGGAACGTAAGTGCTGTCTTACCTGGACTTCAGATTTTTCTAGCTCTGAAGACCATGACCTTGTTTGAAGATAGATGTATACACCATGTAATGCCACTAGATACTTCTTAATTTTTTTTCTTTTTATTTATTTATTTTTTTTTTTTTTTGAGAATTTTTAATATTTATTTTTTAGTTTTCGGCGGACACTGATTGTATGTGGTGCTGAGGATCGAACCTGGGCCTCACGCATGCCAGGCGAGCGTGCTACCGCTTGAGCCACATCCCCAGCCCCTTCTTTTTATTTTTTAAGACAAGATCTCACTAAGTTGCTGAGGCCAGCCCCGAATTTGATCTCCTTGCCTCAGCCTTCTGAATAGCTGGGATTATAGGCATGTGCCACCATGCCTGGCTAATACTTCTTTCTTTGAAGTTTACCTTTTTATTACTTTGTGCTCACTAAGCAGGGTTAGCCATAAAAAGAGAATCTGCTTCATGGCTTCCATATTTACCTCCTGGGCCACAAGGAGGGACAGTACCGATGATGCCAACCTGTGTATTTCTGGTTCATGTGAAAATAATATTTCTCACTATAAATTAACAGATTAGCATTCAGGTGTCTACTTCAGGCATGTGTACTTTGGTTATTTCAAGTCTTTCAGGGCCTAATGGATCTCAGGGACAGAGCAACAATAATTAAGCCACATTTGGCTCTTCAACACAGTGCTGTTACTTCTTAATGTTTGTATATTCTCCTTACTCTCCACAAATATTATTAACAAATCTTGCAGTGGGATACAAGCCAGTGTGCATTTGATCATGCCAAATCACTTGTCAATGTGTCTTTGATTCTCATCAATCATTTTCTCTTATTTTAGAAAAGTGAATTCATGAGAGGAAAGGTTGACTTTCAGGGAGAGTAAGTGATGGAGAGGGAATGGAAAAGAACCGTCATTAGTACTAGCAGTGTGCTTCAGCAGTAGTTTTGCAGCTTCCTTTTAATACCTTATTGCTCTTCTGAGAACTTTGAATCTCCCTTTGGAAAACATTGCTGTAAGGTACTCCTAAAGCAGAACACAACTTGATGGAATAAATGCAGTATTAAATGTTTCTTGTGGAGCTAGGGATGTAGCTCAATGGTAGAGGGTTTACTTAGCATGCACGAGGCCCTGGGTTTCATCCCAGCATCATAAAACATTTAAAAATAAATATATTATCTACTAGATTCTGAGCTAAGTGCTATCCATACACTGTACTCTCTAATCTCAGCATCTCTCCATGGGTGGTTTTTATTAGAAAAGTGTCACAAAGTAACATGGCCAGGAAATTTGGGGATTTGAATCAAGCTCTGTCCCCCAAACACTATGCTATTAACAATTGTTAGGAATTAACTGTAATTTTAATCCTTAACTCCAAATTAATCTCAAACTGAATAGTTGTTCCTCCTCCTCTTCTTTTTTTCTTTTGGGTACTGAACATTCAACCCAGGTTTTTTTTTCCCCTCTATAAAAATTCCCAGTTCTTTTTATGTTTTGAAACAGGTTCTCACTAAGTACCTGAGACTGACCTCAAACTTTTAATACTCTTGCCTCAGCCTCCTGAGTTGCTGGGATTACAAGTGTGTGCCACCTAGCCCATCCTCCTCTTTAAGAAGTTCTATTTATAAGTATCATAATAAAGTAATTGAAATTCTATGAATTAATTACCCATGAAGACTGAACAAAAAAGTTGAGTGAAGGTCTTTTCCTGCCTTAGCCTCTACTGGGATTATTGGCATTTGCCTTCAAAGTGCTAAAATCCCTGAATTCAAGACTAAAAAATCCATATCTTAAGTCCCTCGTGCCTATCACAATATTTCTAGCCTATAACAGTGTGCTCAGTAATTATTAGAAGTAATATTTGTTACTACTTCAGAATTTTTTTAGATCTCTGATTAAGTTAATATTGAATGTGCTGCTTGGGTTGATTGTTAACTCCACCACAGAACTATACCTGCAACCCATTGTTGGTTTTTTTTGGTTTCTTTTTTTTAACATTTTTTATCCAGAAGCATCATTTTCAAAATACATTATAACTTAAAATAGACAATTTATGTAAATGTAAATACCTTCCTTAATATTGAAATCTTTTACCTTTTTGCCATCTCAGGTGATACTTTTGGGACCTTTAAGAATTTATAGGTTTTTAAAAATTTTCTGCTCTTATTTATATTTTTTGTAAAAGTACTGCTTTTGTAATAAGGAAAGGAAACTTTTAAAATTGTCCTTTTTCTAAAGTTTCCAATTACCTGTAAGTGGATGATTAAAAGATATAGATTGGGGCTGGGGTTATGGCTCAGTGGTAGAGCACTTGTTTAGCATGTGTCAGGAATTGGTTTCGAATCTCAGCACCGCACATAGATAAATAAAATAAGGGTCCATTGACAAACAAAAATTTTTTAAAAAGATATAGATTATATTTATTATGAATTATTGGGGGCGGTTATTATCCAGTAGTGCTATAAACAAGTTTTCCAGGATATGATTCTTACAAATTTCTTGACACTTTTATTTTCTAGATGCCGTGTTTTAGTCTTCTGAAGAGTTTAACGTCTGCCTTTCCAAGTGTATATACTATGTCACGGTAAGTTTATAATTCGTATTGAACTACTAAAAATACTATGTTGCCAGTAAATTTCTGTACTTAATTATGGTTGACTAAGACAACAAATTTAATGATAGTTAAGTGCTTTACATGATTTCTGCCTTTTCAAAAAATAGAAATATAATAAAATTTTAACTCAACCTAGAACACAATGAACATAGCTTAGTTATTCTTTGTTATTGTCAATTCTCAAGGTCCTGTTTATAAAAATGATCTATTGCTAGACATGCATATAATACTTAATTTGAAGTGAAGTCGCGTGCATGTTTCCTTTTCCCAGGTTTCATCACATGACACCAGCAGTGTGCTGTTGTAGTAAAACACAGAGTGGTGAGAAATACACCGATCCCTTTAAACTTGGTTGGAGGGACTTGAAAGGTCTGTATGAGGACATTAGAAAGGTAAGTTTTTTTGATTATGCTATGAAGTATGTTTTAGTTTACTGGAACTTAGTAGTTTTACAATTTTGAAAAACAGTGCAGGTCTTCATATATGTATAATGCCATTGCAAACTTTTTACTTGCATACATCAGGCTTCAAATATTACTTGAGCAAAATCCACATTACAACCCAGTTCTGGGCAATATGGAGGATGCAGGGGCTGGGGATGTGGCTCAGCGGTAGCGTGCTCGCCTGGCATGCGTGGGGCACTGGGTTCGATCCTCAGCACCACATAAAAATAAAATAAAGATGTTGTGTCCACCGAAAACTAAAAAAATAAATATTAAAAAAACTCTCTCTCTCTTTAAGAAAAAAATATGGAGGATGCAATACATGTTATTGTTCAGAAAGGCATTATTGCAGAGTTCAGAGTTTAGAAACTGAAAAAAAAAATGGTACAGGGAGCATAAAGATGTGTAGTAAATTATCTAACCTTTCCTTTTCATATCTATCACCTCTCAGTGATTCCTATGACTATCTTTCCTAATTCTGAATATCATCATTAACTACCCTAAATATTGCTTTCTTCATTTAACTCTTTTTCCTATAAACTTTCAGTGGATCCTGACCTCAGGTGAATTCTAAGATTCTGACCAGTGCATGGATTTTAATTTATGGTAGGCCTGTCCTTCTGGGCCTCTCATAGTGTCCCATGCCAGAGTAAACCATGGCCCAAACCATTGCCTGGCCTCTGTGTCCATAGGAAAATAAAATAAATTAAATGGTGCTCAGAAATCTTCACGTACCCCTTGTCAGCTTCCTGGCCCAAAGTTCTCCACTTATCCTCCAAACTTCCAACCACAGGTTCTCACAGTCTTCCAGCAGTTCTCCCTTTTTTTTCCCTTGCAGTGCTGGAAGAAAAAAAAAAGTATCCATGACTGAGTCTAACTTAACATTTTTTAAACTCTCCTTTTCCCTCACAAACTATTTTGTCTCCTTGTGTCCCTGGTCACTGATAATACCACCTAGGAATGCAGGAAAGATTCTCAAGTTGTTCCTTTCCTTCCCCCACATGCCCTTCTAGTTTGTTTCTTACCTTCAGTCCCCACTCCCTCAGGTCAGGTCACCCCCATATCTCATGTCCTTTCTTGCTGTTGTCTTCCCTATCTCAGCCTGAGCCAGAGGCTCCCCGTGTTTTCCCAGAATGATGGTGCTTACCTTGATGAAAGTACTCATCACATTGTAAGGTATTGATGACTATTACTGGTTTACTTCTCTCCATCTAGAACCTGGGCTCAGGCTAGGGATGTGGCTCAAGCAGTAGCACGCTCGCCTGGCATGTGTGCGGCCCGGGTTCGATCCTCAGCACCACATACAAACAAAGATGTTGTGTCCGCCAAAAACTAAAAAATAAATATTAAAATTCTCTCTCTCTCTAAAAAATAAATAAATAAATAAATAAATAGAACCTGGGCTCCTCGTTGGCAAGGACTGTCTTGCTTATCTTTCTGACCTTTGCCTTTATTACAGTGTTTGGCACTGAATCAGTAATCTAATGAATTAGTGACAGGCCTACAGTATTGCATTCCCCTGGGTCCTACTGTTTCCAGGAGATAAGCTCTGATTCAGTCCAATGCACCCTTGAGCAGGACAGATACACACCCATGGAAGATCTGGAAGGCCTTCTCCCCTCTTTACAAATCAAAACCCTACTAGTCCTAACCCAAGTCAAAGCTTATCTCCTCCATGAAATATTTGGGTTTTCTAACCCTCATTAATCTCTTCTTCTCTGAACTTTTAATGTATTTCATGTACAGCATTGCTGAGGTTACTCCTGTATTGTCCATTACATGGTTCATATTTTTAAAATGTCTCCCTAACACAATGTGAAGCTGCTTGCAGTTAGGCAAACTATGCATTATACTTCCTTTATGAACCTTTGAAATATCTTCTGCTAAATATAGGCCCAGCCAGACTTTCTGACGTCTGCTTCTTTTTGCCCACCATCTTGTCTGTCTTCCTTTTCTTGATATGCAGCATCCACATGCCCCTTACCTGCTTCATAGGCTCCCACACTCCCCTGACATTCTCTTCTTTCCTCCATCTTCCAAGCTACCTACCAGCCCCTGTTTCTTTCTCTCTCCAGCTGTTACTAGCCCAAAGTTCCTGGGCCACTCAGTGCTCCCTGTAATCTGCTGCCGCATCCTGGTATCTGATATTATCCCTGAGGCAGTTAGCAGTGCAGGAGACCAGTTGGGGCTGAGCCAGGCATCGTTTGCGTTCCAGCCCACAGGGCATCCAGGTTTGTGTCCATACAGTGTCAAAGCCTTGTCCAGCTGAGTGTTCACTTTCTTAATTGAAGGAGACATACTGAAATTGAATCAAAGTTTTGTAAAAATAGATGCTGTTGACTTTATTGTACAATTAAAATGTCTTATTGATGCAAAGAATCTTTATTTCAGGAACTGCTCATATCTACAACAGAACTTAAGGAAATGTCTGAGTACTACTTTGATGGAAAAGGAAAAGCCTTTCGACCAATTATTGTGGTGCTAATGGCCCGAGCGTGTAATAGTCATTATAATAACTCCCGGTGAGTTCCATACTTTGACACCCTATTATTGTGTTATATTTGGGATTTTTCATTCCCCAGGTTACCATTTTGTTCCCATTTTAAAAGTAACATATATCTAGCTAGATGTGGTAGTGTACACATATAATCCCAGCGACTCTGGAGGCTAAAGTGGGAGGATTGCAAGTGCAAGGCCAGCCTTAGCAATTTAGCAAGGCCCTAAGAAGCTTAGCAAGACTCTGTCTCAAGATAAAAAGGGCCGCAGATGTAGTTTGGTGGTAAAGCACCCCTGTGTTCTGTCCCCAGTACCACAAACAAAAGCATATATCTAAGAATTTGTTCTTTTATGTATAGATTCTGACTTTGAGTCACTAATGTCACTTTGGACATCTTCCTTTTGCAGACTTCTTCATGTCCTTTGAAGAATAGCTTAAGTTACAAATAAAAATTCAAAACCATATTTGTTTTTCTCACTGGGAAGTAAGGAATACCGGGATATATATTTAATCATTATTCACGTGGACGGTTAGTCCAAAGGTTGATTGTTCTGAAGTTGAGCAGGCCATTATTCTGGGCAGTGGATGCACACACCCAGGATTGCTGCTTCCTGTAACTTTTTGAATCGTGCAGAAGAGAAATCTGTAAAGAAGATGTATTGACTTATTTTTAAATAGCTTCACCATTTTAATATCATAGGAAATCTTAAAAGGAAAAACCATTTCCCCATTGCCTTGGGCAGCCCTCTTGCTCATTCTGCTTCCCTTTCCTCTTGCATTCAGTTATTCAACGTATATAATTTTGTGTTCTGCTCTGCTTACTTGTCATTGTTTTTAAACTCTTTACCTTATTGCTGAAGTATCTTCATGTAACCGATCAATGGCAATTCCAATAGACCATAATGTACTGATAGGCATCCCTAGAGTTGAACAGTTACTTCTAAGGAATTCCTAAGAGTTGTCAACACTGACTTTAATGCTGATGCTGTAAGAATGAGCACCAGATGTTTCTTAACAAATGCAGGTGCCACCTCTGCCTACAGCCTTGTGTCCTACAGCGGTGCCTCTTTATGTCCAGCACAATCACAGTGCTCAGAATCGCCTTCTACTTAAGATTTTCAAAGAGCTCACAGTGTATTTTGAGCATGCAGTAAAACCTTTTAGCCGTTACCTGGACCACTTTGACTTTACCTGGAAGGCAGAACAGCAGAAATAATCCCCCTGAACCAAATTTGAAACACATCTCGTGTGGTTTTAGAGCAAAGTTTCTCAGCCCCATGACATCTTGGGGCCAATCATTCTTTGTTGGTGGGAGGGGAGTTAGACTGTCTGGTGCATTATAGGATGTTTAATACCATCCCTATCTGTACCTACTGAAGGCTCCCTCTAAGGCACCCCAGTTGATAGTAACCAAAAATGTCTTTAGCATTGCCAAATGTCCCATGGGGTGCAAAAATCTCTGGTTGAGAACCACTGGTCTAGAGAAAGTATATTTATATTTTTAAATTCTCAGACTAATATATAATACATAGGCAATGTCTAGCATGGGGACAAGTCACAATCCCAGCCTGCATTTGGGTGATCTAGTACTCTGCCAGTATTACTCTCCAAGTTGCTACTTCTTAAAAATACTTGTTTCCCAGAGACATTTCTGAATTGGGCCCTTAATGAGTTAAATATGTGGCTATTGTTTCTATGCCACTTGAAGAAAAAAAGGGCAGCAAACATCTGAAGAGCTGGGCCATTTGTGATTTTACTTGCTCATAAAGGTCCAGAACAGCATGGAAAAACAACATTTTAAAATTCAGGAGCTGGGGCTGGTGTTGTGGCTCAGCGGTAGAGTGCTTGCCTGGTGTGTGTAAGGCCCTGGGTTTGATTCTCAGCACCACATAAAAATAAATAAATAAAAATAAAGGCATTGTGTACAACTAAAAGAAAAAAAAAAAAAAGATTCAGGAGCAGGACCATACACTGCCTCCATTTTAGCCAGTGCCAACAGAATATCCTTTCATCCCAGTGACACTCTGTGTATTCTTGTGCCTCACATGCTTGCTTCTTGGTGATGGCACAATGGAGAGAGACCCTCTTTATCGTTTGACAGTCAAAGCTCTTTATGAACCTTATCAGATATCTTATTTCTAAAGTGTGTATTGAATCACTTAGTAATATGGTGAGGATTTTAGAAGACAGAACAAGTATCTTAAGAAATAGTGAAGGAAGGGAAAACCACCTATTCATTTTTCTGCCTTTATTAAGCTTTTCAGCTATTAAATGTTCTCTGCTGGATGACTTAACTGGGAGTTTTAAACCTGAGGTCTATAGGAGTTGTGGGGGTCTGTGAACCCTTGAAATTCTATCTATTTATTTTGGTACTGAGGATTGGACCAAGGGCGCTTAACCATTGAACAATACCCCCAGCTCTTTTATATATTTTATTTAGAGACATGGTCTTGCTGAGTTGCTTAGAGCCACACTAAGTTACTGAAGCTGGCTTTGAACTCACCATCCTCCTGCCTCAGCCTCCCAAGCCACTGGGATTACAGGCATGTGCCACCATGCCCAGCTAAAATTTTTTGTGTAGTTGCATTTATCTGGGGAAGGGTATCCATGTCTTACTGTATACTCTTGAAGGATAATATGGCCCTGAAAAGCTTAAGATCCAGTTTTTTTCTCCCTGTATCCTGATAATCACCATACAAAGGAAGGTAAAGTGGGAATACAGACTCAGGTTTGAAATGTCCAATAAATAGAGATGCAGTGGATTCTGATATGTTCCTCCTCTATTGCCCTTCACTGAAATACTTTTTGCCCCAGCTGTTATACCAGGTGCTGTTAATGCCTGTTGGCCTTCATTTCTCAGCCTTGTCAAGAAGTGCTATTGTCCTTTCTGGAGGCAGCTCATGTCTAGGGACTGATAGATAAAGGACCATTCCCGTTGCAGAGCTCCTTCTGGGCTAAGTCTGTTGGGTCTGCCTTGGCTTCTTGTTCTGCCCTCCTTCCCTTGGGTGTTGATCCCAAAGGCTCTTCTAGTAAACAACCAGTTCATTAACTTCTTTGCTTTTTTGGCAGTATTGGGGATCAAATCCAGGACATCACACATGCTAGGCAAGCGCTCTACCTCTGAGCTACATTCCCAGCCCACATCCTGTAAATTAGGCTCCATCTCAGAATACTTCCCAGATAATTTAACTTGTAATAGAATTCAACAAAACTTAGGTC